TTGACAATGTGTTACTCATACTTGTTTATACCAGAGATAATTAAGATGAAACATTTTATCAAGAAAATATCAAAATGAAATTTCTGATAGGATGATAATTTTATTTTTTGTTTACATCAGTCACTTACGCATACAACGGAAGCTAAATGACATTTCCACTTACAGTTTATTTGAAATCGTTACAAACAAATATCAACATTATCTGTGTAGAAATTTAGTTGTTTTTACTAAACATTCGAATTATTCTGATAATGTTACACTGTTAATGGAAATTGGACTTAAGAGTTTTAGTTTTAAAGTTTATTTTTTAATGCGAAGTGATTCGGAAACTGTTATATTAAGATGCTGAACTTAATATGACGTTGTATTTGTTCCGTTGTCAGTGAGGGATGAACTATTGGACAAATATTTATTTACTACCGCGCAGTTTCACCCACTCTGCTCGGCTCCTATTGATCGTAGCGTGATGTTTTATAGCCTATATATATAGCCTTCGTCGATAAATGCACTATCCAACGCAAAAATAATTATTCAAATCGGACCAGATGTTTTGGAGATTAGCACGTTGAAACACACAAACAAATTATTCAGCTTAATATAATACGTATTTAATCTTTACGAAAATCAGGAACGAAATAGTTTATCAGCCCATTTAATGTCATGCGCATTACAAGGTTAACTATAAGGCATACCGGCTTAAAGGAGTTGGTACGGTTTTTAGTCATTAAACTGTCAAACACCGCGAGGACACCGGTGTCCACACACCTATTGTTCTTTAATTGTGTCTATAATGACGGTACTCAAAGGGTTAAGAGTCTGACAGTTCCTCACTCCTCACTCAGGACAGGAGGAATCACTTGACAATTTTGCCCCTTTAGAAAAAAAAGAAAAGTTTCGCATTCATAGTTTGACGTCCAGCAATGAACATAAACTTCTTCCATATAAGTAATTCACTAGTTGATCACACATTATCAACAGCCTATAAGTGACCACTGCTGACCAAAGGCCTCTTCTCACACGCAGTAGGAGCTGTATTAATCACCACGCTAGCTCGATGCCGGTTGGCGATTTCAAACCTAGTATTAGAAATTGTTAGTCCAGGTTTCCACACGATGTTATCCTTTACCGTTTATCAGTGATGTCTAAATAATATGTTTTTTTATTAAAACTGATCAACTACTGACTGCCTCGATGGCCGAGTGGTCGCAAGTGCGACTACCGGGCTACGGGTCTCGGCTTCGATTCCCGGGTCGGGCAAAGCCTTAGGTACTAGATTTAAAAAAAAATCTCAGTAGTAGCACGGAGTCGGGAAATGTGCCCGGTATATGATAATAGGCTCACCCTCTATTACATGGGACTCATAACATAAATAGCGAAAAGTGGGCGCTGTGTGCACCTCTGCCTACACCTTCAGGGATAAAAAGCGTGATGTTATGTTATGTTTATGTGACTGATAAACTATTACTATTATTATTTTATTTACAACAAAGGAAAAAGTAAATATATATGAACAACGTAAGAGATAAAAATTAAATAAAAGAAAATAAATAATCTTAAAATGTACATAATTATAACTCGGAAACATACAAGGCACATTGGTACTTGTTGTTGGTTAGTTTCGAACAGGCACCCTCATGAATGAGAAGCGGGCGTCTTACATCCCCGAGCCACTACGATCTACTACACTACTTCTTATTCTCTCAGGAGGAGTAAAAATGTTCTAACTTTAAGAAACCGACATTCACCAAGGAAGTTTGCTAGAGTGTATTGAAAAACTTTGAATGGATTGTTTATAAAAATAACAAAGTAATAAATCTTTATCGACTGTTAAGGAAAATGGTAGTCAAGGGTTTCATTACACAACGCCTTTTCCTCGAATAGAGAGGTATATTTGAGTAAGCCATTACACTATCTATTTTTTTCCAGTTGCATTGTTAGTCCTTTATTTTTTGTACTGGTACACGGCCTCACAGAAAACCGGTGTATAATAACGCTTGCTTTGTGTTTCGCCGTGTGAGTGAGGTTCTTAATCTCCCTTTTCTCCGAAAACGTGCCTAATCCTCAAATCCCTAACCTCGGCAACGCACTTGTCTAGTGTTTCGGGTGTTCATAGGCGGCGCCGAGTGCTTACCATCAGGTGATCCGTCAGTTCCATTTTCATGTATTAGGGTGTAAGCCTATTACATAAAATAGTGCCAGCTTATAAGTGTCCAATGCTGAGCAAAGGCCTCTTGTCACACGGAAAAGATTTGAGCATTAATCACTATGCTTGCTCAAGGCACATTGGCTATTTCAAACTTATAAGTAGAAATTACTAGCTCTTGCCCGCGACTTCGGCCGCGTAGAATATGAATTGATTTTTTTAACATTAATCGGGATAAAAAGTATCCTATCACCTAAGTCAGCCCATACCCTGCCTGTATACCAATATTTCATCAAAATCCGTTCAGTAGTATCAGCGTGATTGACGGACAAACATCTAAACAAAGAAACTTTCATATTTATAATATTGGTGGGATAAGCCCTTATTCCGAGTTATATGTACTTTCTAAGATTATTTAGACACCACTGACAAACGGTGAAGGAAAAACATCGTGAGGAAACCTGGACTTATAATTTCTAATTATAAGTTTGAAATGGCCAACCCGCATTGAGCAAGCGTGGTGATTAATGCTCTAACCTTTTCCGTGTGAGAAGAGGCTTTGCTCAGCAGTGGGCATTTATAGGCTGTTGATGATGATGATGACGATGAAGCCCTTATTCCTTACGGTATTTTCATTCACCATATGTCTTACTTAACTGTCGAGCACCGCGAGGACACCGGCGACCGCAACCTATTGTTCTTTAATTGTGTCTGTAACGACGGTACTCCAAGGGTTAATTTCCGATAGTTCAAAGACAAAAACGGCTCATTCTTAGGTCACCTATGACAAATATCTATAGAATTTCTATCCTAAACTCATTTCAATACCAACTAGAAAGGAGGATGTTCTAAAAAAATACTTGTTATGCAAAATATTTTAATGATATTGACTTGAATCCATTTTGTAAATTCATTCATGCGTATCCCGCGACTTCACCTGTTTGAAAAATGGGTACTAGGACAACAGCAGATGATTTAACGGGTTACCGTATCGAAGCAGCAGTAGGGACGGAGTGGTTTTTAGTCAGTAAGAAACTGACACTCCCTCTGCCTCACCCAAGGTGTCCGTCCGCCATTGGGTGATTTTTCTACACTTAAAAAAAGACAACAGAAATTAGCAACCAAACATGTAAAGATATCCCACTGGAATCGTACATTTTTTTTATATTTGATGGGCCGACGTTTTACCACTATCTCGCCTCTCTTTATGACCTTATCTTTTTTGACTGATGATGATAATGCAGATGCATAAATAGTAGCTCAGGAAGTAATATATAACTGAAAAGTAGGCAAGTTTTCTTAAAGGTAACCGTACTTCATCGTTGGCCATATTTTCGCTTAAGTACTACATAGGTGGTGGGTAAAGCGATATTTTAACTGACAAAAGAAGTGACCCAGCTCTCTAATACATTTTTAAATAAATAAGTAATTATTTTTTAGTTTCCTTAGATTTACAAAATCTCTTAATTGTAACCTGAAAGAAAGACGACATCAGATAAACACTGCCTACATTCAGACTTTATTAGTATTTCTTTATAGGTTTAGACATCTCTTATCTGCCTCCTAATTTTTAGTGACTAAAAACCAGTTTTTCTAGGCCAAAAAGTGATAACGAATTCTACTATTTAATGAAGGCTGAATGCTAATTTTTATGAGTTTATTGACCCTGTTTAAATATACTGTAGCATTCTTGTCTTTTGTCAATGTCATGAAAGGAAATCTGCTCTTGTAAATGAGGTTTTTTGATGGTTTTAAGAACTATTTTCCTCTGGAGGTTCTTTATGGCAGTTTTAAGATCTGATTTCCTCTTGACTATCTTGGTAGTGGTGGCAATTGCGATTGCAGAGCATGGAGCTGCGATCCTAGCGGGTTACTGGGGCTCCGGCTCGAAGCCGTAGTAGGAACGAGGTGGTGTTTAATCAGTAAGAGTCTGATACTCCCTCTCGCCTCAACCAAGATAATCCCTTACCCAAAAGGGCTATGGCGCTGATTCACGGATGCTTAAAATTCTTAGCATAGAATCTTGCCTCTATGGTTCTTCTGTTCAAAGAAGATTTTAATTTCCTCTCTGTCATTGAAGTCACATTTGCATCCGTCTGCCTGTTATTAACACGTTGCAAGATGCAATATGAATGAGCCATAAGCCACATTGTTTTCTATCTTGTCTTTTCTATCAAAATACTTCTTTAATCAATAATAATGTTATGAGTTTCAAGAACAAGCTCTCTGTCTTTTGATATACGCCGAGCAAAGTTTCATACTCCATTTTAATAGTATTTTTTTTAATCAGCGTAAGTACCTCTCAGTTCTGCCAATATTTTGAAACCTAAGTGGTCTCTTGATCAATAAGGCGATCATTAATAAAATATGTCGTTCCAAACAACCTCATTAGTTAAATAGTTGCTAATTTGGATGCTACTGGCAAGGTTCCTGATTTAGTCATCATATAACAGTATAATAGGACGGTTTTTGGAGTTGAGACTTGTGCATTAGCAATAACACTTTCCAAATCATAATTTTTCTTCGTCATCCTATTCTCAAAATTAGTAAACTTAACCCTGTCTTCTATAAGTGCTTCGTTATACTGGTAATTAAAAATAATCCGTACTTATTACATTATGTTCAATTTTGTGTAGAAGATAGTGATTGTGAACTGATAGTACGACTAGACATTGGACGTAAAAATGTTGGCATTTGAATGAATATTATTTAATTTGTAAATTGCATATTGCCATTACATAAGACAATTCTTTCTCTCTATAATCTCTACAATGCAAGTTGTAAATCTGTGTAACGAATTTGACATGTGTTAGTAAATATTGTTATCGATAAAATATTGTTTGTTTCTTCTTTCCAGCCTGCTGTGGGCCCCTCAGGGGCGATCAGCAAGGTCCACAAGTCGGACAGAAAGATCGGACATCGTCGCGTTGGCGAGGGTGGCGAGATCACCTACAAGAAGATCCAGTCTTCCCAAATTATGGGATCTATACAGCTTGGTAAGTGTTTTATTTAAAATAATATAAATAATTAATGTCTGTGCTGAATAGACCGGGCTTGTGCAAAATAGGATCGTATTTATGCAATCAGAACTTACAAACAACTTTTTTTTTATACCACGACGTTGGCAAGAATTGCACACGGCCCACCTGATGGTAAGTGGTTACCGTGGCTTATGAACGCTTGTATTACACGGGGCTTTTATAAAATTAAAGTTATTAATTTGTTTTTGTCTTACTCACATAATTATTTGACGAGGAACTCGACTAGTTTAGTGATTCGTTAGTGGGATAAGTTTCTACCTGTGTCAATACACTTATTACACAAGCTAACATCCTGAATATCATAACAACTTGTCATTGCATTACTTTGCAATAACAGAATCTAAACATAATTAATTTTCTTTGTCACCTTATTCTCATGATTAGCGGGTTCCTAACAATTTAGGCTAATTTTTTACCTAGCTTTATTTAATTACCATCAATAAATTGCGCAAAACATATGTAATACAAACTAATGAGTCCAATACTTTGTGCAAAAATTACCAGATATGTGCAAAATAGGATGTTTTGTGCAAAATAGACATCTTCGTACTTATAACACAGCTTTTACCAACGCATTTAAGTAAATCAGACAGGAACCTGACATCGGAATAATAACTAAACTATCCTATACCCTTCTTGGGGGTTTTAAACCATTCCCATACAAAACTATCGTTATCGGTTCAGCAGATTAACCGTGAAGACATAAACTATCGCATTTGTATTATTTGGTTAAAATTTTCTTATACGACGTTCTAAGATTAACGCCTTGACTATTAAAACCGTCTCTTGCAACTATAAATCAATTAATATACACAGTTGTAAGTACGTACAGTCAGTCTGTCAGTCAACCGCGTCAATTATGATTACGTTACGCACTCCCGCTTAGTGTTTGCATACTAATTATTGACATTCACATTTACTTAGCTCATAATGATTATGATGGCGACCACATGAATATTACAGATGGTATTGTAACTCTTTTGTGGTGAAAATATTAAAGTTTGTGGCAAATTGTGGCTTCGTTTAATGGTGGAAGTCGCTGTGGTCCGGTCTCTGTCAAATGTGTAGTCTCTCCTTATTATTTGATTTTTTTTTTAATGTGAAGGTCATTACTTTTTCCGCCTTGGGTTAGGCGCGGTGGAGTGTTATGCCGGAATACTGAAACGTTACTCAATTTTAAGTCGTGCTTAAATATCGTGCCATCTCAATCATTTTACAAAGAATTTGTAGGGACAGAACTATACTTAAGCGCGACTTTAAATTGAGTAGCGTTTGAGTATTCTGACATTAGGCTCTTATTGATTAAATACCACCCTGTTCCTACTCTTGCTTCGAGCAAGAGCCCCAGTAACCCGCTAGGTCTTCCTCAGCTCCGGTCCAGCATAAAAGAGTAGTCCCTTAGTCGACTCTTCTGACATTCGTGAAGAGAATAGAAGTGCCATCGTAGGGCTAGACTTACGGCGTTATATTCCTCCTAGCCCGCCGCGGTAGCGGGGTGCAGCCTTTGTATAATACAGATATGTATGTAAAAAGTCAAAGCAGATGCCTAATTTTTATTTTAATGTCCGTCTGGTAGATTATTTTAAATCATTAGACACGTATTTTTTATTTTCTTACAGAAACGAATACTTTCGATGATATATTGATTTGAAATGTCACGTGACGTCACTTCTATGTACATTTTATACGTAGAAATGACGTTTTAACCCCCACTCCTAAACTTTGATTCGTTTTATCTAAGTATTGTATTATTATACGATAAAATAAAAAAATACGTGTCTAATATTTTTTCATTACCTAACTGACGGACCAATAAGATTTTTAATTTTCATAGCCTGTCATCATTCCAATTTTCAAGGCGCGTTTTATGCCCGCGGCGGTTGCGATAGTTTGCGGCTCCCGCTGCATCGGCGGACGTAGCCGCGGTCCCACAGCTGCGGCGGCTAGCTCCCGCGCGCTTTACGATCGGTTGGCGGGCGAACGCAATGGGAGGCCGGGCTGGAACTCAACTGATTGTTTAACCGCCCGCCCGTCTTGCGATAATCAACCGCCAAGTTTTCGAGCGATAATAGCAACCGCGGCGGTTTCGTGAGTTTTGAAAATTCCACCTCCATTCCGCTACCGCGACGGTCGTGGGAGAAGATCGCGCTGTGAGCCCTTAATCTTACTCTCGTTACACTTACTAATAGATAGCTGTTAGACACAAAACATTTCTTTTAATTCCTAGTAGTTCCAGAGTAAAAAGCATTCACAACAATATAACTAACTCTTCAGCTCCATAACATTAAATATACTTAACCTATTTAAAATACACCGTTTTAAACGGACGTTGACAATTTAAACAGTTATATTCTTTTTTTTTTATAATATCCAAACGGTTCTAGTCTGACCTGAGACAATTTTAATGTGTCTCACGCGAACGTGGGAGTTTCTAAAATTGTCTAGTTTTGACTGTTCTCTTGCATTGCAACTGATCTAGTGTTAATTTAATGGAAATGGAACATTTCGGTACTCAGCTGGCAGATTTAAATTGGAAAAAGGGGTAAACCATTGCCTAAACACTGATCACATATCAAATAAACATAACTCACGCATTTTATCCCCGAAGGGGTAGGCAGAGGTGCACATTACGGCACTTATTGCCACTGTACCATATAACACCCACTTTTCACTATTTTTTATGTTATGAGACCCATGTAATAGGGGATATATGGCAATAGCCACATAGCAAGCCAGCGGTATATAGCAAGCGCAAAAAAAGAAAAACGCTCAAGAAACACACATTACTATACTACATGGCATAACTTTTTACACGGAACATTATTCTAAAATTTTCTAGAAGTGCCATGTCAACAAACATTGTTACATCAACAAGCACGCGTCAAACCCATTATGCTGTTTGTTTACTTGCCGCACTGATCAAGCGTCATTTCTTGATCAAGGTCGGCCAATGTAAGCAATTAATGGTCCTATGTCGGGAGATTGATCATTAAAGTGTAGGTATTAAAGGTTAAAATAGAATTTGATGTGATTGTATGGTGGTTAAATGGCGTCTCCTGTTTGGCTAAACATCTCTCCAACACCACGCCTATGAGTTGGAGCTTCAGCTCTTCATGTTTAACTATTGCCGTTGTTTTGTGTGTAGGTAATATTTCCCATCGGGGGTTGAGTGGCATAAATGTAATTATGGTCCCTTATAACTCTAATTCAATAATGAATTCACACAAATACTTATCTGACGGTTTTAAAAAACTATCTCGTCGTCTATAAAGTCGTTGTCAATTTGAAGTTTTTTTTTGACGAATACACCAAAAGAAAGGCTGTAAAACCCCTTTAAATGCGCAGACATCGAAATACCAAAACATGATACCAAAATACACACAATCCTACCTATATGCCAGTATGTATGTTTATCCAAATCTAACCTTAACACTGCTACGTTAATAATAAACACACAATTTTCCACAACCGTTACTATACAAGATTATTTTGTAAACAAACCCGCGGGATGTGGTTTACTTGTGCAATGGTTAATTTTAGATCACCTATGTAGGTTGCTTTCGGAGTTATGAAGGGACGGACACGGTATATTTTTGACCTAAATATTTTTTGGCTTGTGTAAGATATTATGTCGTGTGGCAGCCGAATAGATACGTTTGTCACTGACCTGACTCTTTCTGTGGGTGTCGGAAAAACTGATTAAGGGTCTATTAATTGACTTGAACGTTTTAAACTTCGACCTTCAATCCGCATGCTAAGCTTGTAGATTATACGGCGCCGCGGAGGGCTTACCGGGTTGCTGGGGCTCCGGTTCGAAGTGCAGGAGTAGGAATGGTGTGGTTTTTAGTCAGTAAGAGTCTGACACTACCTCGCCTCACCCGGGCGGGAGAAGTCATTGGTTGATTTCCCCCTCCCCTTAAAAAAGCTAGTAGATTATGGCAAATTCTCAGTTTATTTATTTGTTTGTTTGTTTGTTCTCTAACAATGGGGATGATGACAGGGTATGAAAATTAAAAATATAATTAGTCCGTAAGTTAGGTAATGAAAAAATATTAGACCCTTTTTTTTTTATTTTGTCGTATAATAAAACAATACTTAGATAAAACAAATCAAAGTTTAGGAGTGGGGGCTAAAACGTCATTCCTTAGTATAAAATGTACTGAGAAGTGACGTCACGCGACATTTCAAATCAATATATCTTCGAAACTATTCGTTTCTGTAAGAAAATAAAAAATACGTGTCTAATGTTTTTAAATAATCTATCAGACGGACATTAAAATAAAAATTAGTAGTCTACCCCATTGTACACACTAGTTCTAATTTTAGGTTACATGCAACAGATACATACTTCAGTGCTACAATTCATTTGGTTGTCCCTGAGGAAATGAATGAAAGCAAGATAACAAATGTATATTACATATTTATGTGTGTAACGGATCGTCTGTCAATAGAATGTCTACCACAAAGATGATGAGAAATCGCCAGGTGCTGTCAACCACCGATTTTCCGTGGTTAGATTTACGATCGAGGAGGAAAGTCTAATGTAAGCTTTCTCAGTTCGTTTCTACTTACCTCTATACGACATAGTTGTTGAATTATGTACAAAAAAGGTAGATGTGTACATAATACTAAAATAAGTACGATAATTAACTTACAACTGTACGCTTTTCCCGGAACTTTCTGCCTTGTACAAGCCATACTGTGGAATGATCAGTCATCCGCAGTCTTTCCAAACCGATACGACCTTCAAACCTTTAAGGAAAAGACCATATTCCATTTTAAAAGGCCGGCAACGCACCTGTGACTCCTCTGCTGTTGAGAGCGTCCATGGGCAGCGCTGATCGCTCACCATCAGGTGATCAGTCTGCTAGTTTGCTTCCTATGAGTACATGAAAAAAAAAACCCTAAGCAAAGGCCTTTTCTCATACGGAGAAGGAATAAGCACCACAACTGGT